AACCAGCATCATGAATTGCACTTGAGAACATCTTGGCACCCAATGCAGCAGTTGTATAACATAACAGTGCTGAGATTTCCTAGTAGGCACAATGGCTGCTATATTTGAGATCAGCTGAAGTTTTCGTGGGCATCCCTATGTAGAGCAAATTATAATAACCCCATTCTGGATAATTTAGAGCATCTGTGCTCAAATGTCAATAAGTGGCAGGTTGCTTTACTTTCATTGCTTTGAAACGTTAAAAGAAAAGTTATACGCTTAATCTTCAAAATGATGCACTTTCTCCTATTGCATTGCTGAAGCCACAAAACTCTCTCTTCAGTTCTTAAGAAAAGGAAAGAAGCTGACATTGTCAAGACAGGTTCTGCCTGTCTGAGATAGAAAGGAATAGATCACTTCAATTTGGCCTTTCAATTTTATCTGTTGTGATAAATGCAGTGCGTCCTGTTTCTTCATCAGCGTGGATTTTTTTTAAGTACACGAACGTCCACATTTACATACTAGATAAACATATATTTAAAAACAAAGTTAAGTGTGCATTTTTCTTAAAATATGCATGTCTATGAATGTACTGTGATGTATGCTCTGTATCATTCATTCTAATTATGTACTTCATTCTAATTCACACATTTAATTTGGAAAGTGAAAATTGGTCTGATAGATGAATTCTTCAAGTGCCCCTTATCCTATGCCGCTCTGCCCTGTTCTGAAGAGTTCTAGAGTTGTACATAATTCACTTGAGTTTCGGCAATAAATCAAATTATTTATTTGATTGATTGATTGATTGATATAGCTGTCCATTTTCCAATCAAACCTCTGGCCAGAGAATAAAGATAGAAAACCCAGTAGAATAAGTATAAATAATAACAGAATAAGCAATATAAACACAATAATAGCACAGTAACACTCAAAGACAATCAAACTCAAACCATATAAACTCAAGTCAGAAAAAACCCAGAATGACCATTTCGCCCAGCCTATAAGAGCCATAAGCTGGGGTTTATCCACATCTTCAAGGCTTTATAAAATGTCATCAGTGTTGGGGGTTAAATTAATTTGGAGTGGGAGCCCGATGGGAGAGAATATATCTATGGTTCTAAAATAGATCAGTAACAATTGAGACATCTTCTGTGCATTGACATTACCGATTGTAGTTTGTGCTGTACCTGTGAATTCATTCTACAGTGCAATATTAATTTGTATGATGAAACACTGTGACCCAGTAGGTTAACCAGAATTTTGAGTGAACACACCTCATCTTCAAAGTGCACACCACCTTCTGCGCATGCGCAGTGTCGGGGTGGGGGGCGGAGCCTCCCACAGCCACCGCTACCGGTTTGCCTGAACAGATCTGCTTTGGCATTTGCCTTCTTTCTTTAGTCATTGCTATGGTCTTGTTTGATAGCCAGTGTGTTCTTTGTTTTCTTCTGGCTTTTAATATTTATTTTTTAGCTTTCTCTTTTACAAACATTTTAACTAAATCCAACAAATCCTTGAGCTTTCTGTCAACTAGGTGCAGCCCTTTGATTCTCTTTCTCATCTCAATGTTGTATTCTTTTGCAATGGGTTTGTAGTATGTATCCCACTAAAACAGTGTCTTCTCTAGTGTTTTTCAGACTGGTGTATTTCTATGACTAGTAGTAGATGATCTAATTCACAGTCGGCACCCAACATATTCTGCAATTCAGTATAGATATTTTCCATCTGTTGTTACATGATATATTATGTTGATTATAGTGTTACCCATTTGAAGATGTCCAGGTTAAAAGCTGTCTTTTGTTGTTGAAAAGTAATCTATTAAGGGACATACATCCTATTTTCTGTAGGGAAGTCTATTAGTCATTATTCATTGCAGGTTCTGATTCTGAATCTTCCAACTGTATAGCATACGGTTCCTCTTCAACTTTTACATTAAAATTATAATTGACTCTGAGAACCATCAAAAATTCATTGCCTTGAAAAGTCATTTATAAAAGGAATTTATATTACACATTACAATAAGTCCAGACTAATTAATATTCAAAATGTGATTTCCCTCCCCCCCCACTTCTACAGCATTTTGTTTTTTTCCCACCCCATATATGAATATTTGTGTTTTTTTTTTAATTTGGAAATTCTGAATGTCTATGGAGATTCTCAGTCATTCAGATCATAGTTGTCCCAAAGGTGCTTTTTCAAAAGGCAACTACACTTCGTTTTTTTCTTGAAGAAGTTTCGCTTCTCATCCAAGAAGCTTCTTCAGTTGTGATTGAATGGAGGAGGATGGAAAGATTTATATTCCTTGCAACCATCTGGTCATTAGTACTCATTCTGAGAGTTGTTGAGGCCGCTTGGAGGTTCATTTGTGCCCTAAGGGTCACTTTAATAGTGTAAATGGGTGTGGAATCTTCTTGGAACTGCTGAAAGGACTGTGTTGTAAACAGGAGATGTGGTGTCATATGCCTCCCCTCAGTTGAGAGAAGGCTGTTCAATCCGAATGTAGATGGCCTGTTTTGTATCTCTTTTGGAATTCTGAAACTTGGCAGAGAATTATACTACTGAGATATTACTGGTTTATGTATTGCAATATTTTTCTTTTGAGAATGGAACCTCTTTTGCTACATATTGGGCTTGAGTCACTGTGATTCCTGTAGAAACCATAACTAGGCCAACAACCAACCCCCCCCCCCAGGTTTATAAAGGTAGAGGTTTTCCCTGTCCAGATATTCTTGACACTAGCGGGCGGTGCTCATTTCTGTTTCTTAACCGAGGGAGCTAGCATTGTCTGTAGACATTTATGTGGTCCTGTGGTCAGCATGGCTATGTGCCGAGGCGCATGGAACACTGTTACCTTCCCTCTGAAATGGTACCTATTTATCTATTCGCATTTGCATGCTTTCACATTGCTAGGTAGGCAGAAGCTGGGGCAAGTAACAGAATAGCAGACTTGGAAAGGACCTAGTCCAACCCTCTGCTCAAGCAGGAGACCCTATGCCATTCCAGACAAGTGGCTGTCCAGTCTCTTCTTACAAGCCTCCAGTGATGGAGCATCCGCAACTTCTGAAGGCAAGCCTGATCAATCATTCTCATTGTTGGGACATTTCTCCTTAGTTCTAGGTTGCTTCTCTTCTTGATTAGTCAAGTAACGAGAGCTTGTCTTGTTGTATAGCACTCAGGTGTCAAACCCAAGCATGAACAGAGAAAAGTCAGCTGATGACAGCCTATTGCAGGAACAAACTTGAAAGCTGGAAGGAATAGAGTTCAGAATGGAGGTGAGGGCAGCCTTCTGAGTCTAAGAGGAACCTCCTGGGAGGTGACCGGAAGATTGGAACTAGAGGCTTAACAGAATATGAAGCCACTCTTTAACATCATAAGGGGGAAAAAACTGAAGGAGGGACATCTGGCCAAAGGACATTTGTAGCAATATTTGAAATATTTGAAACCTTTATCCAAGGAGCTAGCAGTAGCAGGAGGAAGTGGAGCTAGTGGAAGATTGCTATACATACATTATCCTTAGTTGTGAGACGCTGACTAAAGGTTAGGAAAATCTCATCTGAGGAAACCCCAGTTGAAAGATCAAATGGTTGAGAAAGATTCCTTATGCATTAGGAAACATAACTAAATGTATGGATTGAAGTAATCTCTGGCTCCTGGAAGAAAATCAAATCCTTATGTAAGCCCTTATCCCATAATAAGTATCTTTCTTTTGTTCAATATGTAAACTGTTCGTATGGTGATGTCAGTACTATGTATGTGCAGAGATGGTATTCAGCCAGTTCGGACCAGTTCACCTGAACTGGTAGTGAAAATTGCAGGTAGGCCCGCCCCCAGCTCTATACCGTCCTATTTAGGCATATTTTCAAGCCGCGTGCATGCATGCAAGTGCACACATAATCAAAGTGCATGCACGGAGGGCAGAGGGCATGCGTGGACTGGGTACATGCTCGCTCACATTTGCGAACAAGTAGAGCAAGTAAGTGAATACCTCCTCACATGTATGTGCCTTATATAGCATAAATATTATATAGGTTTTTTTTTTTTGCTTAGAGTAGTTAAACATTTTATGGTCGAGGGAGTGGTCCCTAATGGTGGGGTTGTTTTAACTTTGTTCAACATTGTATCAGAGAATGCTATAAACCCAAGCCTATATTTTCTTGAAAAAAACAAAATCACGTGGTTTAGTCATGGGATTAAAGGAAACATATCTTAAATGGTTTAATTGAACACTTTTAATAGTTGTTGGAGATGTAACTTAAAATTTTCTGCCAGGCATCAAAATAACTGAAACCAGATCTCTAGAAAGACACATGGTGTGATAGAGATTTGATGGAAGTATTGCTTAAAGGCTAAAATGCATGACTAAAATGATAGATCCAAATGAAAAGGCTCGCAGGGAAGCCTCTGTTAATCTTAGAAAATGTAATAATTAGTGTACAATTTATTTCAATAGAATGTACATACTTATATTTTAAGTAACTTTTAAAATATGTAAAAGGTTTTTTAACCACGATAATTATCTCCTTTTGAAAGGTAAATTTACAGCAAATGGAAAAGCTGAGGAATAATTTTGATCTTTCAATATTACAGTGTGTTAAGCTCAGGAGGAAAGGGGGGAAATTCCAGCTGACTTTGATCAAATGTCATTTATATACATTTGCATCATACACAAATGTTGCCCTAGAGACCAGCCACTTTCACCATATGGGAAGATAATTTGACATGTGGATTTTTGTTAGTCTTTAGGGCTTATTAGAACCTCTTAATAAGAAGAAGGTGAAGAGGACTTTAGACTTGTTGGCATATCTGATTGGGGTTTTCTTAAACAAGGAATTGCTAAAGTGCAAATAATGGTTGTGTTTGCTGTGAAACTTCAGAATTTATTTCCTGTAACTGCAGGCCATGGATTTGTTATTCTGTCCAAATATCTATGTCTCCCCCCTTCCTTTCTTTTTCTTATCATTGTGCTTATTTCTGCTCACAGAATCAGGACTCCAAGGCTCACTAATTCACTCTTTTTATAGGTGAGATTCCAGAACTTTGCTCGTCCTCTGATATTCCAGTGGAGGGTGAGAAGACCCAAGAAAAAGCAGCACAAAAGCCATCTTCCAATGTAAGAAATCAGCCTTGAGTATTTTTATAGCTATAACCACAAATAAACAATTGAACCAAATGGTACATAGTAGTTGATGCCTCAGTTTATTTGGGGGATGACGTTTAGGAAGTGAATTGGTCTGCTAGAATGCAATGAAGATATAGCAGTTAATAGTAACTTCAGTGACCATAATGATTGGGGCAATTTATTTATTTCACTTGGAATTAGATGTCACATGACTTCTGTTATTCTAACTTGAAATGGACTCTTAAGTCGCCAGAACCGTGCTAAAGCACCTTTAGCATGAGGCTTACAGAAATATATAAAACCGTGACCCGACAAATGCGCAAACGCCAAAAGTGCGCTGACAAAACCGCGGCGCTAAAAGCGCGATGTCATCAACGCGCCGACAACAGCGCGCCGACAGAAGCGCGATTTAAGTTAAGGTAAGGTTTAGGGTTAGGTTTAGGGTTAGGTTT